GCAGTGCCGCAGGAGGTCACGGCTCCGGAGATAGAGGAGGGTGTAGTGTGAGACTGGAAAGAGGACTAAGGAGGAAAGAGGCATGAGCATATGAACAAAAGAGAGAAAGCTAACGAGAAACGTGAGCGAAGAGGGAGATAAATACAGAAAAGGAGAATGAACAGGAGAGACAGGAAGAGAGAGATGTGAATAGAGACAGAAAGACGAAGAGGGAGCGGAAGAGACAGAGGGATAGAGAGAGAGAGCAGGAGAGAAAGAAAGAGAGAAAGAGAGAGAAAGAGAGAGAGAGAGAGAGAGAGAGAGAGAGAGAGACAGAGAGACAGAGAGAGAGACAGAGAGAGAGACAGAGAGAGAGACATTGGGCCTGCTACTTTGCTTAATTACGTCTTTCTCCGCTGTCTCTGTCTGTCTCTCTTGCGCTCACTCCCTTGTCGAGTGCGTTAGTTAGATATTTATCGCGACGAAACGTGCGCTGTGCTCGCTCATGGCTAGCTGGTGAATTCGCTCGAAAGCGTGCGACTCGCCAGTTGCCACGCGTGTGCCTTCTTTCTGGACCTATCATTTTGTTGGCTCGCGAGGATATCGGCGCTTCCGCAGAATATCTTTTGGCTGTCAATTACGGAATTTGCTGCTTCCTGCGGGGTTCAACGGTTCTCCGCTGCAACAGAGGCCATAAACCTCGACGCAGCAGCCGTTCCCACCGACAAGCTCTCCGTGTTTCGCGGAGCGCTGATCTCTCCTCGGCTGTTGCAGCTGCTGCTGCTTCTGCCTCTACAGCCTCAGCCTAGCAATCTACTTGCTTCGCGTCTCGACTCCGGATGGGGAGAAGGCGCTGCATGCCCTGCCTGCCTCTCCCTACTCCCCTAAGTACACTACGGTAGCCACCAGACGGCAAAAAGCGCAAACAAGTGCGGCTGCGCAGGAGAAGCCTCCAAGGACCCCTCGACAGCAGCGGCACAGACACCGAAAAGCTGCTCGCTGCGCTGCTGTACAACGTACTGGTCAAAAGTACTCAGCCGAACGCTGTCGACTAAACAGCAAGAGTGCAGGAAGAAGGAAAGGCTCATGGAAGGCGACTTTGCGAGGAGGCTGCGTGGAGCTGCAGGTGCAGATGGATCGCGTGGGCTGCCAGCAGCAGCAGAAGCGCAAGTAGCACGCCTGCATTAAAAGACATATATATACATATATATATATGCACAGTGAGCAAAGCACACACCGCAGAAAAGAGCCATGCACTTAGTCCCCTCCCTCTACAGCCGCAAGTTCATGCTGTTGCTTCGGAGCCGACTACGAAAGAACGACGAGGACGAGGCAAGTAGGCGGGGGGAGTAGAGAATACAAACCACCCACATTCGTACAGCGTCGACGGTGCAAGTTGGTGCAGATTCCCAGCCAGCTTTCTCCAAGCCACCGCTATCAGCCGAACTGTCGTTGCTGCTCCAGATGACACGATACTCCCCGAAGGCTGCTGTGTGTAGTCGACAGCGAAGGGGAAGGGCTCTGGGGAGGATTCCCCTCCACTTGGCAGTGGCAGATTCGCTGCCGCAACTTCTTCTGCGCCTCCTCCTGCTGCTGCCTCCGACTCGCTTTCTGCCACGAAACGTAAAGGCTCCACTCGGAGAGAAGCAGCTGCGCTGCTGCTGCGGCTAATCAAGGCACCAAGAGCCTCACAAATGTGATTTTTCAGCAAATCGAGGCCTAGTGCCAACTCCCGGAGACTGTCGCTTTTTATCTTTCCCTGAGCAAGCAGCAGTGGCACATGTAGCAATCCTGTACACGCAACCCCCCACGCGACTTGCTATTAGCTAGCTAGCTAGCGAGCCAGCTAGCTAGCTTTACCTTGCCCGCAGCAAGCAGCAGTGGCACATGTAGCAATCCTGTACACGCAACCCCCCACGCGACTTGCTGCTAGCTAGCTAGCTAGCTAGCGAGCCAGCTAGCTAGCCATGCGGAGGAAAGAGCGGCGTGCCCTGCCTCCGCGTTCTTCGCCTTTCGATCCGACACTTGCGGAGACAGCGTGAAAAAAGTGAGGCTCACTGGCTTATGCCCTTTTGTGAGAGGATGTTTTTTGAAAACACAGGCAGCATGCACATGTTTGAAGGGTTGCAGCTGCTCACCTGAAATAAGGACCGCGTGGTGATGACGACTTCGTATTCGAAGTCGATTTGAATGGCGGCATTGTTGTCAAGAGTATCTTCAGAGGTTGCGTTTTTCGAAGAAGAACAGGAAGACGGCCTTAAAGCGGCTGCAGACGAGAGAGCGCAGCACTTGAGCCTCTGAAGGAGATAGAAGGTGTCGGAGTAGGGCATGCCAGAGAGGCGGCTTTCAACATCCAACAAGACGCAGTGCGGCGTGCAAATGCTGCATGTATAGCGCTCTCCTAAGACTCCCCGACTTGGCAAGCCTAAGATCCGTGTCAGCGAAGAATCTGGTACTGCAACGCACAAGTGCAGAGTTCGTTGAAAGCTTGTAAGTCTTGATTTGTCCTCTCTCTGTCTGTCTGTCTGTCTGTCTGTGTGTGTGTGTCTCTCTGTCTCTCTCTCTACCCACACGGTAGAACGCCAACAGATGCGCAGCCTTGCGCCAAAGACACTCTACGTAGAGAGTTTTCCAAAGGGACCCTGTCCTTACACTTGATATCTGCCTTGAGAGCTCGTGTCACTTGACAAAAACGTCCACTTAGCAAACCGTGCTCTGAAGATCTGAGAGCAGCTTCCTCCGCCGCTGCCGAGTCATTCGCTTCTTCTTCGGGAACAGGAGGCGCAGCAGAAGGAAAAGACGTTTGCGAAATGTTTTGGGAGGGAGGCAGGCACAACTCGCCACTGCCTTGCTGCGTAGGATGCTGTCTCTGCAAGGCATTCTCGCTGCTGCTGTTGTTGGAGCTGCATTTACGCCAGAAGCGAATGGGGTGCAAGAATTTGGCGTCTTTTTCGCGTAGCACTCTGCATCGGCGGCAATCGCAAGTGTGAAGACATGGAAACTGCTTCCCTTGGCCTTTCGTAAGAGGGATGCGCGCAGAGAGAGAGAAAAAAAAAAGGGAGAAGAGGCCATGCAGACACCACTCCGCCAGCAGCCGAGAAGCAGAGAAGGAGCAAAAAAAACGCAACGAACTTCGTGAAAGGACTTGATTGCGGCTCTAAGACAATGGCTTCAAGAAGCTCCTTCAAAGACACGTCGAAAATCAGACTTTTTCCGGCTTCCTTCAACGGCTGCAGCAGATTGGCTGCTGTAGCGGCAGCAGCCGCTGCCGCTCCAGCAGCCGCTGCTGCTGCAGCGTCAGCGCCAGCCGCAGCTGCTGCAGCCGTTGCAGCTGCGCGCAGTTCTTCTACTGTTGGATACGGGAGCTTCCTTGACACCTGCAGACACAGACACAGATGTCTCCCGAAAGAAAGGGCATAGCCTACTACACACAGCAAAAAATCCACGAAAAACGAGCAAGGGCTGCCCAAGAGCACCGCTGCAACATCGTCTATCTCCTCCTCGCCCGTTCTCTTAATCAGCGAGAGAAATTTCGGCGAGCCTGCAGCAATATAGGAGCCATCGAAAATAAAGCCGCAAGCACTTACAACAGACATATTCAGTTGTCGCTCTTTTTGCGTAGTCTTTGCTTCAGCTTCGATGCAGGGGGGTGTTGAAGGGGTCGTTCCTCCCTTGCTAAAGCCCTTCGCAGTAAACACAGCAGACGCTTCCTCGGAGCGCATCGCTCTAAGCTCCTCCTTCTCCAGCATGCTCGTGACCAAGCAACTGCCAACCAACACAAGCGGGGAGTTCGTGCCCTCTTACATGCTGGGAAATCTTGTGAATTTCCCAAAGGGCAACAATAAACGCGAAAGCCTGAAGAGGCAACAGGAAAAATGGACGCGAAAAATCGTCGAAAAAAGACAAGCAGGCCGCAAACAGCCTTTTCAAAAAAAGTAGCCTGTTTTCAGTGATCAAAGAAGAGTTTCGAGAGCCAGAGAAGGATGGAAAAAAGAAGAAAAGAAGGCAAAAAATGCCATACCCTATCTCTGTTGATAAAAGTTGCAAAGAAGTGCCGCTGGCCATCTCGCAGCTCAAATTCAATGCTGTTGTCGAAAAAGAAGGCGTTCGTCTTCTTCCTGAAAACACACGTGTTATCAGAATCTGCACAGCTGAGCCCTCTTCAAGACATTTCCCTGGTTGGATTTATTGGTGTTCATAAGCTTGGCTGGGCGAAAGGAGCGCCACTGAAAAAATCGGCTTCTTTGCAAACAGCTGCGCATCGCTGTGTCAAAGTGATCTCGACTGCCCTAAAACGCTCCAACATTGACGCATGCATGCATGCATGCATTCTTTTACATCTGTTTTCAAGCACCTTATCTCGACGACCTCGGAAAACTCAAAAAGAAGCGTTGTTTCAGATCCAAACAGCGTTGTTTCATTAAAAAGAGAAACAAACGCTACACGACTCTGTGTGATGTATAGCCGGCCCTTAACAAATCAACACACACCATCAAAAAATTATTTCCTTGTACAAACAGGTGTATACACAGCACCGTGCAGACAGACATACATATATATATGTATATACATACACATACATATATACAGAGAGAGAGAGAGCGAGAGAGACAGATATAGAGAGACAGACACACACAGACATAGAGAGACAGACACACACAGACATAGGAATATCCAAAGCTGCAAGCTCCTCTCTCTGAACCCCCCTGCAGAGCGACGAGTAGCTACAAAAAGCAGTTTGCAGCCGCTGGAGGGAGGCTCAGCAGCACGATAAAGGTAGCGGGAAAATCGTAAATACTTGAAGCAAGATCCTTTTGCTGAGAGCGCAGCTGTAAGACTGCAGAACGAAGTCAGTCACGCCAAATCTGCGATGCACATTCACAGAGAAAGTGGAGCATTCGACAGCTCCAGAGCCAAAAAAAACCCTAGATATATATCCCTCCAAGCAGCTTGGCGATTGTGATGGTCAAAGAGCTACAAATGTTGTTTTTAAAAAAATTCAACAGCGGCAGTAAAGGGGGCGGAAAAGGCCATGGAGTGCTTCCCCCCATCACTTTACAGAAATATATATATATACACATCTATGTATATATATATATGTGTATATATATGCATATACACATATATATACACATAGATACATACATATACACATAGATATACACATATATATACACATAGATACACAGACACATACCCATATACACGTAGATACATATACACATACCCACATACACATAAATACATATACGCATACCTACATACACATAGATACACATACACATACCCACATGCACATAGATGCATATACACATACCCACATACACATAAATACATATACACATACCCACATACACATAGATACATATACACATACCCACATACACATAAATACACATACACATACCCACATACATACATCTACACACACGTACAGGCATAATCACATGCATACATACATGCATATTCACATACATACATGCATACATACGTATCCACACATAGATATACATATACACACACATACATATACCTATATATATACACCCACACATACACACATATGCCTATATATATACACACACATACATTTACCTATATATACACACATACATATACCTATATATATATATACCCACACATTCATACATATACCTACACATATACACCCACACATACATTCATATACCTATATATATATATACACATACACATACATACACATATACACACACATACATACACATATACACATACATACATACGCACACATACATATACACACACATACATATACCTATATATACACCCACACATACACATACCTATATATATACACACATACATATACACATACACATACATATACACACGTACATGCATATTCACATACATACATGTACGCATACATATATATACCTATATATATACATACATACATATACCTATACACACACAGATACATACATATACATACATATATATATACACATACACATACCTATATATATACACACACATACATACACATACCTATATATATACACACACATACATACATGTACACATACACACACATACATACATATACATATATATGTATATATACACATACACACATACATATACATACATATATATACATGCATATACCTATATATATACACATACATATACATACCGATATATATACACACACAAACATACATACATATACACAGAATCGTGAGCTTACTTCTGTAGCACTTCGTCTTGTCGCATCCCCTCAGGAGCAGAGACAGCAGGAGGAGCTGCTTGCTTTTCTGGACTGTGCAGCCGTTCAAAAAGCGGCTGCAGCACTTCTTTTTGACTCTCCTCCGCTGTCTTGACAGGCGCCTCTCCAGCTGTCAGTCCTCCCCCTTCATCGACGTCCGTCTGCGTTGAAAAAGCACAGTTGCACTGACGCATGACTGACGCCTCATCTGCGCTGCGCAGGAGTCGCGTGCAGCCTTTCGAAGCGGCTGGAGAGACAGCGAATTCGCCAAGACACCACCGACAAAATGACACACAGACATACAGAAACAAACAGACACACAGAAACAGACACACAAACACACGCAGAAGGACAAGCACAAAGACACACATACATACATGCATACACACACATACAGATACGCACACATACAGATACACATACACATACACACACATACAGATACACATAGACATACACACACATAGACACACACATACAGATACACACATACAGATACACACATACAGATACACATAGACACACGCATACAGATACACACATACACATACAGATACACATACACATGCACATAGACACACGCATACAGATACACACATACACATACACATAAAGATACACACATACACACAGACACACACAAACGCACACAACCACACATACACACACATAGACACACACACACACACAGACACACACACACACACACACACACACACACACACACACACATACACATACACACATGCACATAGATACACACAAAGTATTGCCACTAAACACACCTCCAAGGAGATCTGTGCCTCGGAATAAAAATGTTTGGCCCATACAAAAGGCCCTGAGAAAGTTTCTTTCAACGCGAGTTTTCCATCTGGCGCTGCAACGACTCGGTGGGGTTGGTGTTGCTCATCTGCTGGCTGTGAAACGCTTGAAGACTCTGGTGGTCGCTCGTCTACGGAGGGCAACGTCGCTGTGCTGCTGCTGCTGCTGCTGCTGCTGTTGTTTTTGTTGCTGTTGAGCTGTGTCTCGCATGCACCTGGTAATGCGAAGGCTGAGGCAGCATCATGAGGAATGTCTTCGGCAGAGGCAGCATCATGAGGAATGTCTTCGGCAGAGGGACTGGAATTGTCTCTCGAGGAGGGGATAACGTCGAAGCTGAGCACCCTGAGAGAGTGTGAAGCGGGGGGAGAAGGAGTCTCGAGCAACCCCCCTCTTTCAGCTGCTGCATTATCCCCCCCCCCACTACCATTACCAGCTGCTGCATTATTGCCATGAACACCATGACCATTACCACCATTACTATTATCACCATTACTATTATCACCACTACTATTATCACCATTACTATTGTCACCATTTCCATGACCAGCTTCTCGCACATGCACATGTGCGCAGACAGGAGACTTCCCCGCGTCATCCTGCAGAGCTTCAGCTGCTTTCTGAATTGCCGCAGGGAGGCTTCGCCAGCGCGTGCATTGGTAGCGCAGGAAATCTTCAGGGAGTCTTGTCGTCTCTGCGGATGTTTTCACATCCCCTAGAGCCAAGGAAGCAGCACCACTTCTGGCGCTGTCTGAGCAACTCGAAACCGGAGTGCAACGGAGAGAAGCCTCCTTCTGTGCGAGAGACGCCTCCATGAAGTCTGCCCTTTTGCTGCACCATCGGAGCCTCCGGCAAGAGCTGCCTGCTGCAGCTGCTGGCGCTGATGACACACGCATGCAGCTTTCATCACTCTCCGTGGCAGCAGTCGGGAGATTGCAGACTGCCTTCAAGGGAGAACGACGCGCCGCAGGAAGCTGCGCGCTGCGCTGCTTGCCTTCGAACCCACCCAAGAGACTCCGCGATGCTGCAGCGATCTCCAGGGGATGATCCGTCGAAGGCATGTCGCTGATGCTCTCGCCAGCAGCAGACAACGCGAAAGTTTCCTTCCATCGCTTAGCAGCGCTGCCTGCTGTGCAGTCAGAAACGATGGAGCATCGACTGCTGCACCTGCTGCTGCTCAAGGCAGAATCGCCGTGACGCTCGAGCTTGCTGCGGCTTCTACCCCTGCTCGACAGACTATCCCCCAAACATTGCTCGAGAAGAGGAACGCTTGGTGTGCGTCTCACCCGAGGCAGACTGCTCTTCCAGACGTCATCGACGTGCTGCCCTCGACGCGAGAAGACACCTGCGTCTGCCATCCCCTTGCAGAATTGCAGGTGCTGCTGCTGCCACGCGCGATGCTCGAGGAGGGGATGCAGCTGACGCTCTTGCCACTGCGCTCGTCTCCCAACGTTCTGCACATATTGAAACCCCATAGACACCTGGCTAGCACCTCCATGCCAGTCGAGTTGCAGCGACTAGAGACAATCGGGGAGCTAGCTGGCGGCTAGCCGCCGCGCTGCAGCCACCAGTGCCTGCTGCGGGCAAGATGAAAGTATAAACAGCACGGCAAAAACAAACTCAGGAGACTTCCTTGCCTTGCGAGACAGACGCGCGGCTTCCACCATCAGCAGAGGCAGTTCGGCGCAGGAGGAAAAGACTTGTGTGCTCGGATGATCTGTGTTGCTCGGCACGATGCGAAGCTTCCGAAGCCACCAGTCTGCAGGATCTGCAAGACGCCTCTCTGCAGCAGCAGCACAGCAGTGGCAATACTCACAGCAAACACGCATGCTGCATCACCGACTGTGTGTGTTCTCCCCGCAGCAGCGGCGAAAAGCCGGGCGATGCCAGCAGCAGCTGCCACAGCAAACAAACACGCAAACAAACAAGCAAAGAGACACGCAAACAAACAAGCAAACATATAAGCAAAGAGACACGCAAACAAACAAACAAACAAATAAACACAACAAACAAACAAACAAACACAACAAACAAACAAACAGACAAATAAACACAACAGACAAATAAACACAACAGACAAATAAACACAACAAACAAAGAAACACAACAAACAAATAAACAGACAAATAAACACCCCCCGAAGAAGAACAATCTTCTCTCTCTCTCTCTCTCTCTGTCTCTCTCTCTCTTTGTCTCTCTCTCTCTCTCACCAATCTGATGTTTGCTCAACAAGTCTTCGGGGAATGCCGCCTCCTCTCGTGTGATTCGTTCTGCATCTGGTGAGTGACAGACTTGCTGCAGTACATTCTGCCTGACAATTTCCACGGCAGCAGCAGAGGTATTCGGCAGCGAATCGAGATGCTCTTCTGAAGCATCTAGCGCAGCAGCGAGGGTCGCTTTGACTTGCTGGTGACGATACGCATGCTGTGCCCTCTCTGTAGCTGCAGCAGCAGCCTCATGGATATCCGCAGACGCAGCAGCGGCGAACTCACTGCTCCTCGCTGTTACGATCTGTATCGTCTCCAGAGACTGCAGCAGCTGTTGCGCATCCTCCATTGCCGCAGCCACAATTGCCTGCCGCAGCTGCGCCTCTGCAGCAGTAAGGCCTATGGCACTGCCAAGCTGCGCATGTGGCGACTCCTCTGAAATTGCTTTCTCCAGATCCTGCTGCTGCAGTAAGCCACCGGTGCAAGCAGCAGCGGCAGCAGCAGCGTCTTCCACCCCCCCCAAAACGCTGCTGCTCTCGCTGCTGCTGTCGCTCCACTCCATATCCTGAGAGTCGCAACAGGGAGTCGACCCTGTTGCAGAAGGGAAGGCTGTTGCGTTGCCATCAGCGCAGCACTTTGCCGAAGCAGCATTCGTATGCGCAGAAATAGTTGTAACTGCAGAAACAGTTGTAGCTGCAGAAGCAGATGTAGAGCTCGTGCCTTGCCGCCTCCAAGAAGTGCCACTGGCGAGGCGTAGAAGCTGCGCAGAAGCGGCCTTAAGTCTTTTTGACGCTGCTTGCAGTTTCCGCACGCTGTGAAGTCTTGACTTCGCTGCTTCAAGATCACCCCACAGCAGCTCGTGCTGCTCTGCTGCGCGGCATGCCTCTTGGCAGCCTTGCGCGAAGTGTATTTCCCTCAGTCCTTCTCCTCCTCTTGCAGCAGCAACTGTGGCAGTAGAAGGAGCAACTGCCACAGCTGCACGCAGCTGCTCAGCATAGCGCTTGAACGCAGCAGCCATCAACTGAGCTGCTGTATCGAAGAGATACAGCGTTCGTGCGCTGTTTCGAATGGTCTTCCTCTGCCTACTTGCGGCTGTCAGGAGCGCTGCAAGGGGAGAGGAATCCTCCGAGCAGCTGCCGCTGCTGCTTGAGGCAAGTGTCTTCAACAAGAGCTCTGTGGCGTCAAGTTTTCCGCTAGAACCTGTGTAAATGCTGCATCCAGATGCAGCATTTACACAGGTGCAGACACCCAACGCTGCAACGCTGTTCGTCCCCAGCGCATGCAGGATCGCCTTCCTCTCGGCAGCAGCATCTTCTCGAATCTGCTGCAGCGCGAGACTCTCCTGCTGCAGCTGCATCCGCATCACTCTCAAGATGTCTTGCTGCTGTTGCTGCAGCAACGGCAGCTGCTGCTGCACTCGCCGCTGCAGATCCGCAAAACTGCAAGCTAGTTGCCACTGTACAGCGTCTTCTGCTGCCTCAAAAGCTCTGTATTCAAACACAAGCCGCTGAATGGAACGCAACCCCACAGATACCAACAGCCGACAGCGTCTTCTTAGACTGTATGGAGAAAAGAAATCTAATTTTCCCCCCCTTCCCATTGCTGCTGTTTCCTTAGAGGCCCCCTCTGCGCAGACAGCCAGCTGCTGCTGCTGCTGCTGCTGATGCAAATGCTGCTGCTGATGCAAATGCTGCTGTTGCTGATGCAAATGCTGCTGATGATGCCGCGCTGAAGTCTTAGCAATTTCCTCTTGTCGGAGTTGAAGGGCCCTTTCAGCTGCTGTCACGGCTGCTGCGCAACTTGCTGCTGCTGCTTTGCGATCGTCGTATATCTTCTTTAACCTGTGACTTATTGCTTGCTGCTGCTTCTGCAGCAGCACCTGCTGCTCCCTTGCTGCTTGCTGCCGAGACACTGCAGTCGCTGCTTCTCGCTGCAGCTGTACTGCAGCGTCAGCGTGCTGCTGCTGCTGCGCATGCAAGACACGCTGCAGCAACAACCACAGGCCGCGCTTACAGCCAACACTGATGCAAGGCAACTCCGGCTGTTTCTGAGGCAATGCTGTTGCCTCTTCAGGCAGATCTCGTGCTAAACGATACTCTTCTCGCCGAGCTGCAGATGCTGCATCTGCAGCAGAAGCTGCATCTGCAGCAGAAGCATCTGCATATCCCACCCCTGGTACTGAAAAATCGGCAGGAGGCATAGAGAGGTCGTCATCACTCTCAGCTACGCTCTGTTTGACTGGGCACGCAGTGCTGCTGCTGCTGCTCTTCCTACTGCTGCTTCTTTGTGCTGCTTTCGTGCGAAAGGCATCACGTGTTAGCTTCGAGACTGCCGCGAGAGCAGCCGCCAGCTGCCCTTCCGCATGGGCGCAAGCGTCGAAGAAAGCGGCAAGCTGCTGCTGATGTTGCACTTCTGCATGCAACACCTGTTCCTTTGCAGCGAGAGGCCGCTCTGCGGAGACTTGTATCGCCCCCTCGAGGCAGCATTCCTTCCAGTTGCTCGATGAATCGGCAACAACAAAGGCGGAGCGACTGCAGCGGCACACGCGCTGCTGCATACTGAGGCCAAGCAAGGCGAGAAACACCCACTGTGCACAGTACGACACCGCAAATGCTACGGAGAGGCAGCGTTGATTTTGCTGCTGCAATGCTGCAGTGCTGACTGCATTCCGTCCGTAAGAGTGACGGCAACAGAACAGACTCGCACGGGCAGCGCGAGTCAAACACGGCAGTGACTGCTGCTGTCGCTGTCGCTCTCACGTCCAGAAGAAAGCGGCGGGAAAGCAACGCCTTGCAGTGTATGATGTTCGCCGTGTTAGAGGCAGCATGCGGCGCTCGCTGGAGCTCCGGGAGCACAGCTAGCCGTGTGAACTTCCCTGTCTTGATCGCTAAAATACAAGTCCAGCTGCTGGTTGCACTAGGAGTAGTAGTAGCAGGAGCGGAGGCTGCGGCAGCAGTGACAGCAGCAGCAGTGACAGCAGCAGTAGCTTCCTTCCCAACACAACGACCACTGTACACTTGAGAGCAGCATACATTGCTGTTAGATTTACTACGAAAGTCAGAACGGCAGCAAGAGCAGCAGCAGTCGGGCAAATATCTCGCCTGTGTGGTCACAGGCAGAGGAGCGCTGCCACTGCTGCTGCTGCTGCTGCGCCGCAACACGTGCTGCTGTTCGTGCTGTTTTTTCTGATACTGCAGTGAAACGTGGGTGTCTTTACACCTTGTATTACGATGCGCGTGTGATACGCAAATAAATTCATTGTTCCCCCTCGAGAAGTCTTAGAATTAGAACCCTATACACTCACCTCCGCAGAGGCAGACCGCTGTGTCCATGGAGCTGCTGCTGCTGCATGTTGCATGCATACAACATGCAGCAGCAGCAGCAGCAGCAGCAGTAACGCCTTAAATTGCAGATTTCTTCCAAACGACATGTATTTCCCATTTTTCTGTTCTGGTGTTTATTTGCAGCAGACTTGCCACAGTCCATTACCCAATAATCGCTTGGAGCTGAAGTGCGTTTTCGATTAACACTGGCAGCATTGGCAGTAGGTACATCATTAGAAGAGCAACAGCATCGATTACACCACCATCATCAGCGCTATCAGCTTCCAAAGCGGCAGCGATAACAGTCTCTAGGGCAGCAGTAGTTGCAACAGTGCTAGCAGCAACGCATCCAGGGGCTTCAGTGCAAGCAGCATTTAAAAGGATGTCAAGTGACGAAGATGAAATGCGCCAGCTGCGCGCAACGAGTGGCTATGCAGCCGCTTCGAAGGACAGGCAGCAGCAGCAGCAGCAGCAGCAGCAGCAGCGCCTCTCATCCGCAGCGAGAGCAGCATCTGCAGCACGAACAGCATCCGCAACAGGAGATGAGAGCAGCAGCGAAGACGATGTTTACGGACCACAGCCTTTGCAGCAGCCTCCAAACCACCAGCGTCAACAGCAGCAGCAGCAGCAGCAGCAGCAGCAGCAGCAGGGGCAGTTGGGTGCTGCGGCAGCGGATGCTGCAACACCTGAGTCAGAAGAGGACGAATGCGGAGAAGCAGCAGTTGATGAAGAGGCAGCTGCAGCGCTGGCTGCCATTGGACTTCCGTCGAGCTTTGGGGGTCCTCTGCAGAGCAGCAGCAAGAGCAGCAGCAAGAGCAGCAGCAAGAGCAGCAGCAAGAGCAGCAGCAGCACGCGCAGCAGCAGCAGCAGCACGCGCAGCAGCGTCCCCCCGCTGCAGGGAGGGGGGGGGGAGCCGCTTCATGGCGAGGTTGCTGCAGAAAGCATTGCGAAGAGAGAGATTCTCGTATCTCTTCCTGAGAGCAGCAGGGAGGGCAGCACAAGCCGACGCAGCAACGGGAGATGGAAGGAAATCAATCCCTGGCTTTCATCGTCTCTGAGTTTCGATCGGCAGCCTGCAGAGCCTGAGAAGGCTACTGAATCCGAAGCAACATTCTCCTCTCATGCTGCAACGGAGCGACTTCCAGTGTATGGCCGCTTTACTTTAGACTGCCACAGTCCAGGAACTACCACAGCGCTCTCCGTAGCCTTGAAAGGCAACAGGATGGTGCGTTTAAAAACAGAAAGACGTGCCGTGCAGTGCTGAGCAGGCAGATGAGAGAAAGAGAGAGAGAGAAATGGCAAAATATGTGCCTCTTGCAGTGCAAGAATCAATGACTGTGCATCATCTCATCCTTATCTTTGCTGTCCCCCTCCCCTCGCGATTCAATAAATTCATGTTTTGTCCTTTCCTTCCCTCTTTCGCGCTATCACGCTTCTTCGACTTGCAAACAAAGGCTTCGCCATATGTCCGTTCCCATACGCACTATAGATGAGGTTCGGCCCCTCATCCTCTCTACTTGTATGCATGTGATCTCTAATTGTACGCATGTGATCTCCACTTATACGCATGTGATCTCTACTTGTACTCATGTGATCTCCACTTATACGCATGCGAACTCTACTTGTACTCATGTGATCTCTACTTGTACTCATGTGCTCTCTACTTGTACGCATGGGATCTCTTCTTTTACGCATGTGTTTCTGCGCTTTCTTGAAGGGTAGGCACGACATGCACGTCTATGAGTGCGAATGCTGTCTAGGGGTGTACAGGCTGCAATTTTTGTATGACTCTCTTCGTCTGACTGTCGAGCTGTGTGTGTAACTGTCCTACTTTCTGTATTTCTAAGTGTCACGTGTGTGTGTCTCCGTGTGTTCGCGTGTTTGCTGCATAGGCAACGGGGGGGAGTGATGGGTGTTTACGCCTCTGGGATTTTGGAAATTCGGCAGTTCTTTCTTCTTTTCGATATTACCGGTCCGTCATGGTCTCAGAAAAGCACCGCATCGCTTCTGTTTCCTTTGGTAACAGCAGCGGTAGCAAGGGCGTCGTCGGTGTCTCATCTGGCGATAGCTGTTGCTACATTTTTTCTGCCGAGGGGGAGCTTTTGCAGCAGACAACAAAAGGCGATCAGTACGTGCGAGACCTCAACAACACCAAGGGGCACACTCACGCCGTCCGAGATGTGCAGTTTCATCCAACGGAACCAAACCTTTTCCTCACTGCCTCCCTCGATGCCACCTGCAGGATTTGGGATTTGAATGGTCCTCTTTACGGCATTGATCAGTCGCTGACGCCGCTTTTTTGCCTCAAAGCGATCGACCGCAGGGGAGCCAACAGCAACGTCTGCACGTGCTGCTGCTGTCTGTACACGCCAACGTCCGCAGACGCGATCGTCGTTGGATGCTCCGACGGCTCCGTGCAGCTCTGGGGGAACGCACACAAAAGAAAGACTTTCACAAGGCCTGATCAAGTGCTTCGAGGTCTGCATGCGCCACAGCAACAGCAACAGCAACAGCGGAAACGTTTCATGGGTATCGAGGAGGCACCCGGAGAAACAGACTGCGGCGTTGCGGCTATGGCGTTTGCTCCGAATGACAAGGCACTGTACACCCGAGGGCTAGACGGCAGTCTCTGCCTTTTGGACCTTAGAAAATTCTCCTCCCCCGTGTTTCGCATCGCTGGTCTTCCCACAGGCACCTTACAGCAAGGCGTCTGTCTCTCCCCGTGCGGCCGTTTTGCATGCACCTCGACGCAAACTGCTCAGGAGCAGCAGCATCTGCAGGACCACCTCCAGCAGAAGCAAGAGCAGAAGCAGGAGCAAGAGCAGGGGGGAGCCAATGTTAGGCGTCTGCCGCATATGCATTTGCGAGGGAGATTTCAAGGAGAAATACGCGCCTTTGATGCGGCAACGGGGGCACCTGCCTTCACGATTCCCTTCGAGGAGTCGGCTCCTACGGCGCTCTGTTGGAATGCAGAGACAAATCAGCTGTACACATGCTGCACGGACGGCAACATCGCTGTGAGCTTTGATCCGCTGGCGCCGCTGGCTGCCACAACGGGAGCTGCGCGGCTGGTGATGGCAACCCCGCCTGCAGCGTCTTCGAGGAGGCAGCAAGAGCGGCGAGACCACGAGATGCAGCAGCTCCTTCATCAGCAGCTCCAGGAAAACATCTTTGCTGGGGATGCGTTGCCTGAAGGCTACGTGGAAACTGCGGATGGCCGTCTTGTGCGGAAGCGAATCAAGCCAAAGATGCGGGAGGAGATGTTTGAAGAGACACAAAAGACGAAGCTGCCCCCCATTCCCTCGAAGAGGGGGCTCAACGGGCAGCCGGGAGCCATTGGCAATCGAAGTCTCCACATGCTGCAGCAGCTGAATTTAGTGCCTTCGCAGCAGCAGCAGCAAGAGCTGCAGCAGCAGCAGCGGCTGGAAATTCCGGGGGCGACTGCGGCCGAGCGCTTCTTGGAAGGCGTCGACATGCACAAGAAGCAAACGTGGAGTGGTACATTCATTTCCAGAGCATATGCCAAGACGGCTCCGAAGCCGATTGTGTCTTTCGACGAGGCGCATGAAGTGGACAAGGCGGATCAAATGCTGAGCAGCAGCAAGAGATGCGCTATGTGCGGCTTGCGGTGCTGTCAGTGTGAAGGCAGGAGTAACAAGGTTCTGCGGCTGCGGGAGTAGGGGTGCTGCGTTGTGTGGGTGAGTTGAGGAGGACGGGGGGTGAGCGGAAACAGAAGGGAAAGTCAAGGGTTAGGAGAAAGCTACGCTAGGAGAAGGGAGGGAGGCCTCTTAAGGCGCTGGGTACAATCGAGAGAGGCTTTCGCTGCAGGTGCTGACGGCATGGGAAGAGTGGCGGCAACGCAGCCTTTGAGGAAAGACGGTCTGCCTTTAGACGAAAGGCAGGCAAGGCCTTTTGGCGATTTTAGGATGCCTTTTGAGGCAGATAGGGAGTCGAAATCGCGTGGTTCTCTGCGCAGTGTGCGGGAGTACCCAGGAGAAACGGTGGTGTGCAACGGAGTGGGGCCTACTCTTATAGTGGGGGGGGGGGGGGGGTTCTGTAGTACTTACGCTGCATCGCGTTTTTAGAATGTGCAGTTTGTGAACGTAAAATGTAATTTTTCGACGGCAGACGGTTACTGACTGCAGCAGTAGGGAACAAAAGGCACGGTGGCAAGGGGCAGCGAGCTGTAGGTCAGTACCGATTCGTCAACAGAGACAGGCAGCCCTTCTCTTCGTGGGGTTGTGTTAGCGGATAAGGCTTTAGCGCACTGTACGCACAAAGGGCCTCTTTAGGGTGTGTTTCGTAGCCTAACAATCCGGCTGTCCGCCTCCAGGGCACAACGCGGGGGGGTGTTGTGGTCGGTTGGTGGGGGTTTAGAAGGGCGATCAGTCTAGAGGCTGCCGCGAGCGCAGTGGGGAAAGATTAATGGGGAGAGGGGGGGAAGAGCAGGATGTAGATGTTGCAGCGACTTCTTCTCTGGCCGTTTTCAAAGGGCGGCTTCCATGCGAAATGCCCACCAGAGAGGTCCAATGCCCTCTCTGAAGGGCTTCAAACGCTTCTGTACACTCAATAAGGAGGCTCTGTACGCGCAGATTCCCCACCTAAGCTTCTCGTGGGATGCTGATGTACAAACACCCCGCCTTTCTGGAGGAGCCTCTTGTGCTGAACCCTTCACCCTACGAGGAGTTCGGCTTTTGACGGCGGAGGGATGAGAGACAGCTACAGGGGGCCAAAAATGTAGGGTTCCACCCATCTGCCTTTTCCGTGGGTAAACACTTCTCTCTCAATGCAACGCCAACTTTACGAGAAGCTACCGCGTGCCTTTGAGAAAAATGCCATTACGGCTTCCCGTGCGCCCTCCACCCTCACAGCTCGACGCACTTGGGGGGGGAGGGGCAGCGAGGGTGCTCGTGTCGCTGCACCCTCCAAGCATTCACAGCCAGTTGCAAGCAGTGTCTAGCCCACACGCACACAACTCTGTGTTTTCTTGTATCGAGTTTACAGTACTGCGGACTGAACGAACAAGCCAAGCGAACGACCTCGCTTGTGAGACGGGTTCTACCTACTTTGGAGTTCAAAATAAGCAGCATAATAAGCACACTGCATAGGTTTAGCGTGGCTCGCTACAGGTGAAGGGTTTTTGATCATTGTTTTTCCAGTGCAGCATCGACAGAACTTTGCTTTAGGTGCTTCGCAGAGAGCACCAGCGCCAGATTTTGTTGCTCGTGCTTCGCTGCTCTACTACCCTTAGATCGCGTACATTTCAAGAATTTTTGTTGGGTTGCTGGAGCAGCGTGCAACCGAGACCGCGCCCTTAGACAAGAGCTGTCTTTTCAAAGACTTTGAGGAAGCTGCACCAGGGTTGCATGCGTGCATGCAGTAGAAATGAGCGCGTTTCCGACGCTTTTTGAGAAGCAACGGGGGAAAGAAATGCTGAGAAGCAGGCCTTTCCACCATCGACTGCCGACTGCCGACTGCCGACTGCCGACTGGGCGATGGCGGTGGACTGCGTGCGTGTGTGTGTCTGTGCTGAAGTGTGGGTCATCTTTTATTTTGTGGGGTGATCTATTGATATTTAATTGAATTTTTTGCGGAGAGCCAGGGGGAAGTGGTATTCCTTGTAGAAAAATTGCCGGTTGCCCCCTTCTTCCCCCTCCCGCTCCGTCACGGCGTGTGTCATATTTTGCTGGGTACTTGCAAGAGGCGGCCTGGGGCTTTCCTAGAGACCTTCGCCGCGCTCGGCTTTCTTCTTTTGCTTCTCATCAGGAAAACTGACAAAAAGTAAACCGTGAGCGCTGTCGTGTGCTCCTCTCCAGCGGCAGTCGCACGGTGCCGATCTTCCGCGTGTGTCACTCACGGCTTGTTGCTTGTGTCGCCTGCTCCCCAACTGCCTGCCTGCTGCCCCGCTTCGCCTGCCCCTCCAAATCTTCCAAAATAAATTCTTGGCGCGCCATCCGCCTAATGCCAATACCCTCGCGTGTTCTCTCCCGCACAGGTATCTGTCTGTCTGCATGTCTGTCTGTCGCTCTGTCTGTCTGCCACTCGACTGAAGTGGATGATGCTGCATGTGCCCCTCGGCTGCCCATAGACACACGCACACGTCGCTTGCCACATCCCTCTCCTTCCAGGCTATACCCCCATAGCTAGCCACGCCGTCCTTCTTCCTCCCGCCTTCTCCCTCCCTCCCCCATCTCCTCCTCAACACGCGAAATTCAACCCCAAACCCTCCTCCCTCTCCGCCGCCAAGAAGCGCTGCCTGCCCGCACAACAGCCTCATGGCGTTCTTCAATGGCTGCGCTTCGTCGGTGTCTGACGAAGCCACAGAGTTTGTAATCGCCAACACTGCTAGCCACACCTTAGCGGCGCCTCCACGCACTCCCCTCCTTCGATCAGGCGCATTAGAGGCCTCTTCCCCAGGAGGAGGACTTGATCCTCAACAGATTGGACGCGTCTTAACCGTCGCCGTCTCTGAGATCGGCGAACATGTTAAATCTGGTGCGCAGATCTTTTTTCTACTACCACCCCCTTCCGATGGCTTCACTACGCATGCCCCTCACGCATTTTCTTTCCCAGCTATCCTAACCTCCTCTCCCCGTCAGCACATATCGAAGGGCCTTTCTTTCTCTCTTATCCCTCCAGCGCATATCTAGGAGAGTCTCTCTCTCTTTCTGTCTGCCTGTTTGTTCGTCTCTCTGTCTCTCTTTTGCATTCGCTTTCTTTCTTATCCTTCCGGTGTATATCTAAGAGAGTCTCTCTTTTGCGTTCTCTTTCTCTCTTATCCCTCCAGCGCATATCTAAGAGAGTCTCTCTCTTTGTCTCTCTTTCTCCCTCTGTCTCTCTTTCTCTTTCTCTCTTATCCTTCCGGCGTACATCTAAGAGAGTCTCTCTCTTTGTCTCTCTCATGCATCTCTCTCATATGCTCGCTGTATCTTGCGCAGTGTGTGTCTGTGTGTTTGCAATGGGAGCAGGTGGCGAGTTGCTGTGGCGCTCTGCTGTATCCGCGGCAGGGCATGCGCTGGCTGCTTCTCCGACAGCCTTGGGGGTTCGCTGTGAGCTGCCTGTTGCTGCGGCTAGCTCAGCTAGCGCTAGCGGAGGCGGCAGAGACGTAGCTGCCGCTGCACAGGACGGCTCCTCCAGAGTGTGGGGGGATGCCAACTTCTCCCTGGTCCTGAAGGAACGCAAACACAACGGCGATAAAGCGGGGAGACTTGTGGCTGCTGCATATGCTTTGGACGGTATGTAGGCAGCAAGCGATTTGCAGAATCTGGTTTGCCTCGTGGAGGGAGGGGCGAGGGTGTTTCGTGTCGGGAGAGGGGAGGGGAAGGTTGAATTGGCTGGTTGTCATGATATTTTGGATATTTTCGCACGAGGAAGGAAAGCAGGGGATCTTGAAAAGGGAGGGGGGAAGGTCACCCCGCGTGTGAAGGAGGTGGTGAAGGCTGAAGTAAAGTGTCTGCCCTCTGTTCAACGCATTTCCTGTCTACCACACACAATCAGCAGTAGACAAAAGAGAAACTGCACCGCGGCAAAGACAGACAGATAGATTGGTAGAGATAGAGAGAGAGAGAGAAGGCGGTATATTACACCTCTCTGGTTATCACGGACGAGGCTTTAGGGGCTGCTTGCGCTGCATGGTTTTTTGCGGATCTTCTCTTTCGCTCCTTTTTCGGCGGCATTTCTCTTCCCCTACGCATCCGCATGGCTTTATTTCTCTCTCTCTATGTCTGTCTGTGCTTGACGCATGCGTCTGTAATCAGAGAATGGAGAGACCTCTTTAGAGGTCACCGCAGAATGCCGTTTCGCGTGGCGCCGTAACAAGGCTTCCGGAGTCTCCATCCCTGTGGAGGGGGTGGACGGAAAGTATGTACTTTTCTGTTTGCTGGTGGTCAGGCTGTTATTAAGAGCTTCCGCTCCAGTGCCTCTAAGGCATTCGTGCGAGCTCTCCGAGAACGCTTTTGATGCACGGTTTCTCTGTTTTCTCGTTTTTCGCGATTTCGCGCCGTGAAGGAGGAGAAAAGGAAGAAGGGAGAAAGGAGGGATTAGAATTTGGAAAAAGGCTCGCTGGAGAGACGCGTTTGTTTGCGACTTGTGCGTTCAGCACATATCTCATTAGCGGCGATGACATAGGGGCATCTGTGGAGGTTTGTGCTACCCCCAAGACGTTCGGCGGCACCCTTACAGGTCGACGTTTCGCCTCTATAGGGCCTTTTCAGGTGGATTTGCGCACGAAGATGCTCATTCTCACCGCTCTCGCCAACGGAGGGACGCGATTCTCGTGCACGCTGTAAGTAAGCACAAGGCGCTGGGAGAAGAAGGGCCGCGTGTCTCTTTTCAGCGCTTCTTTTTTGCATCGAGGGGTTGTTCGCGCGCTCATGATGGCGGCGGACGGCTGCCTGCTGTATCACGGCACCCTGGACTTTTTTATGTAGAGGCATGTCTGAGTGCCCGCCTGTGTGACTGTGCTTTCGCATGCTAGAGCGTCACCTGCCGGGGAGGGTTCTGCTCAAGGAACCTCCCCTCCAGAAGTCTCGGTAGACGTCAATCAGGATCGCGTCATTGTAACGCTGCAGCGTACGCCCTCCGTGCAGCTGCCTCTTTCCTAAGCACGAAAAAGGCGTTAAAAAGAGGCCTAGCCGCAGTTTTGTAGGGGACGTCGAGCTGTGGCGCCTGCCTTAGGGGGCTTCCTGTTGCGCACCGCTCAGTTTGAAAAAGCGTTTCTTGGCGTTTTTACCAACGATCTCCATGTAAGAAAGCAACAAAAACATTTATGGGGGTGAAGACGGGGATAATATATGTGGCGGCGTTACGGATTCAGCAGGGCTGCAAGAAGAAGAGGGCGCTCGAGAGCTGAGCTGTCTGTACACCGCAAGTCTGCCAACTGTGGAAATCGATCCCACGTCGTCTAAGCGCTTCCAGGTGCGCAGCTGCGAAACAGCTTCTCTCACAATTTGAAGAAGGTTTCGAGGCGCTGAAAAGCTGTTAAAGGATCATTGCAAATGCGTTTGACGGGGTGGGATCCGCCGCGCATGTGTGCATGGGTGTCTGCCGTTTGATGATGGCCTTTGCAATATCTGGCGGCAGCCATAGACAGGGCAATCGGCGGATGCTAGCACATTGCTTGTGCGACATATCTTTGACGGCTTTGATGAGCATTTCGTTTCGGTTCATGAGGGGGGGAGGCGGGAGGGGGGGTTCTTTTTGTCTGTCCCTTGTAGTTCTGTGCAACGCATGCCTCTTCTACACGTTTTACGATGCCGCTGATGGTGCTGTCTGCCCGCGCGTCTGTGTGTCGATCTGCGCATAGAGAGGGGCGTAGGAAAACTTGCTTGCTTGGCGTGCTTATCCATGACATTCGTAGAGTTCTATGCGTCTGGCAATTTTTTCCATGCAGCTACGCCTCTCCGAAGACACTTGCCTAAGCCTCTGTGCCTCTACACGACACCAGAGAGACCTGCTAGCGCTGTCTCTCAGGTGCTTTCAGAGCCGCGTCTTCGTCAGCACATCCCTCATCCTTGATCGCGTTGCTCCTCGGCTGCCCTGCGAAGGTGGGTTCGGAGCTGTCTTGGGGGTTTCTACTTTCAATGCATTACAAGCGCATACACTACAGAGAGGGCGGAATACATGCATATAGTACAAAAGAGAAGGCAGAACATGTAAATACAGTACAAAAGAGAAGGCGAAACACATGCATATAGTACAAAAGAGAAGGCAGAACACATGCATAAATAGTGCAAAAGGGAAGGCAGAACATGTAGATATAGTACAAAAGAGCGGGCAGAACACATGCATAAATAGTACAAAAGAGGGCAGAACACATGCATAAATAGTACAAAAGAGGGCAGAACACATGCATAAATAGTGCAAAAGAGAAGGCAGAACATGTAAATACAGTACAAAAGAGAAGACGAAACACATGCATATAGTACAAAAGAGGGCAGAACACATGCATAAATAGTACAAAAGAGGGCAGAACACATGCATAAATAGTACAAAAGAGAAGGCAGAACACATGCATATAGTACAAAAGAGAAGGCAGAACACATGCATAAATAGTACAAAAGGGAAGGCAGAACATGTAGATATAGTACAAAAGAGCGGGCAGAACACATGCATAAATAGTACAAAAGAGGGCAGAACACATGCATATAGTACAAAAGAGAAGGCAGAACACATGCATAAATAGTACAAAAAGAGAAGGCAGAACACATGCATAAATAGTACAAAAGAGGGCAGAACACATGCATTAATAGTGCAAAAGAGAGGTTGGTTAGGGAAGCGAATTCTCAAGGCGGCGTGGGGGGAGTGGAGGGAAGGCAGTTAAGGTGGCATGAGCGGTGTGTTGCTTGGTGTGCTTTTGCATTGCCGCTCACGACTGCACGTGCATTATTGCAGAAGTTGCTCGAGAACGGGGGAGGGGGAGGGGGAAAGGGTGGAGTACTGGAAGGTCTAGAGAAGTGTAGAGAAAAAGAATGCGCAGGGAAGCCTCGCAGGATCGCTAGCAGAGTAGGCACCCCGGAAGGTTGGTGCAGTCTCCTGTCATTCGTTCATTGCAAATTCGACTTTCTGGCATCTCTCGCTTTCGTGTCTTGCGCCTTTCTCCCGCAGATGGAGCTGATTTAAGGCTTGCTGCTCAGCAGAGCGATCCCCGTGTCGATTGGTATTGCACACTTCATCTTCTCCAGACGGTACAACACACGGCTTCTTTCTTTCAGACATTACAGCGCAGCTCACCTTTCTTGCCGCTTCTGGGCACCTCTCTTGACCCTTTTGCTGCCTAGAGGAATGTTAGCAGCTGCTGCTCTGTTAGACGGCTTGCGTGGTTTTGCTGCCTCTCAAGCGCATGCATCGGCTCTAGAAGTCTCCGGAGGCATTTTTCTTGCGTCCTGTGGACTGTCTGCCTCCCGCTTGCTCTCGCACTGCCCTTGCGTCTGGCAAGAGGCAACCCTCTGTCTATACACTTGCCAGACCGACGGGCTTTGATGCTTGCGTCTCTCTCGATTTCTCAAAAGAACTCGCTTCTCTGCTGATTCGAGCCTCGAGCCGCTCCGAGAATGCGCGTTCAACGATGACAGCTGGAGACACCGCTGCTACTGTTTTGCCTCCGCTTGCTGATGCGTGGTGCAGGAGCTGCAAAGGGCGCAAGCTGTAGGCCTCCGGCTGTCGCGAGACTTTGCGCGAGCAGCCAAAGAGAAAGAAGCTCTTGAGGAAGAAATGCAAATGACCATTAAAGCCTTCCAAAGTCAACTGGACAGTGAGCGCTCCTAGTGCCATCGCTCTCTGTGCGGCCCTTTTTTCTTTTATTGCTTTCCCACCTCCCCCATCCCTGCATGGACCCTAGCAACACGAATGCGTGTAGCGCGTTAAAGCAGAGATCGGCTTGGGTACAGAAAATGAGATTTTTAAGCCCAGGCAACACCGCAGGGAGAGAGACAGAGACAGAGACAGAGCCAGAGAGAGAAAGGGGAAAGGAAGTAGTTGCTTTTAGAGCCGTTGTCTGCGTCTGCGTAATGGTCTTAAGAGGTTTTGTCGTGGCTTCAGTCGTGCGCACAGCACAGCGCCTTCCGTCTGCTGCAGTGCCTTGTGTTGCTGCTGCAGACGCGCTGCAGCAAGGCCAGCAACAGCAAGGGAGCACCAGCAACAACAAAGCCCTCGAGGAGGTGCAGGCGCAGTTGGAAAAAGCGACGACAGCGAATGAAAGCCTCAAACGCGAACTGCATCGGTTGCGGCAGCAGACACACCAGGAGAACGGGGGGGATGGAGCAGCAAGTGCCGAGCCTGTAAGGCGGCAATGGCAGCAGCCTTGAGCGTGAAGTCTTTCCCGCATACTAGTTCTTCTCAGGAAGAATTTGAAGTCGCTTGTTGTTCGCTCGCGCTCGCTGAAAGTGAAAGTCGGGGGCTTTTTTAGTGCCTCCCGTCCTCGGATGGGGGCAAGCCTGTGGTGTATGCGCTACTGCGCGTCTAAGATGCACGGCCTCATAGGGGTATAGATATATATGTTTTGTCGGTGCTTGTTTTGTGGGTGCATATATACATTTATATATGTTTTGTCGGTGTTTGTTTTGTAGGTGTATATATATATTTATATATGTTTTGTCGGTGTTTGTTTTGTGGGCATACATATATATATATTTATATATGTTTTGTCGGTGTTTGTTTTGTAGGTGTATATATATATTTACATATGTTTTGTCGGTGTTTGTTTTGTGGGCATATATATATACATATATATATATATTTATTTATTTATATATGTTTTGTCGGTGTCTGTTTTGTGGGCATATTTATATATGTATGTTTTGTTGGTGTTTGTTCTGTGTGTATATGTGTGTATGAAGGGCAGAGACGACCATGTGCAGTGGCTGCTGCAGCGCAAAGCGGAGATCCTGACGAAGGAGAAAGAGGCCTTAGAGCGGCAACTCCAGGAGGCCCTTAGAGCGGCGGAGCTTCGTGTGAGTTTGGAATTCTTTGAATTTTTTTGGTCGTGGGGTGTGCTGTGCTGTATGCGCGAGATCTGTCTCCGCGCACACGATACCACGATACCGTATCTTTTTGTTGGCTGCCACGAGCAGGCGGAGGCTGCTGCTGGAAGTTTTGAACGCTCTGAAAAAGCTGCTTGGGGGAGCAAGGGCCGACCGAGTGGTTGTGGAGGGGTCGTTTTGCTCTCTCTCCCTCTATGCTGCAGAGAGATGACGGGGAAACAAACAAGGAAATGGCTTTCGAGATCAAGCGGCTCAGAGCAGAAGTAGAAGAGGCCCATCTCCACAAGGTGCTGCATGAGGCGGGTTGGGGGGATGAAGGGAAACTTCTTGCGCTTCGCCTTTTGCGGCGCACGAAGTTGAGGCAGCCGTTTTTATGGCTTCTGCCCCTCTAAGTCTGCAAGAAAGGCCAGCTACTACTGCTTGCCTCTGGGGACTGAAGGGGGTGGCTGCTTTGCTGCGGCTTGTTGTTGCTGCAGTCTCGCGTCTCTTTGGAGCTTTCGGAAGCGCATCGCGCGTTTGAGCAGGAACGGAAGCGTTTTTCGTCCGCAGTGCAGCAGCTGAAGGACCAGCTCATGCATGCAGAGGCCAGAGCGGACTGTCTCGCGGAGCAAGTGGTGCGTTGCTCCTCTTGTCTTCTCTGTCTCGATGCGGCAGCCCAGTTGCGCTGTGAGGTTGGCTTGCGAAGAAGCACGCTGCTCGAAGGGCTTGCCACTATCGAGAAAGAGAGACTCCCGCTCCTCCGGATATGCCGCCTCCTTCGCTGTGGCTGTGTACTCTCTGCTGCTGCTGCTGCTGCTGCAGGCGGAGATGAGAGTCTCCGAATCTGGCACGGAGGAGCAGTTCGCTCAACGGACGGCTGCCCTCCAGCTTGCCGTGGAAGCGGCAGAGAAAGAAGCTGAGGAGGCCAAGAAGCAACTCGCAGTCGCAACCACGGAGAAGGATGCCACAAGGGCAGAACGAAACAGGCTTCTAAAGCTTACAGACTCCCTCTCCAAAGGCAAGCTTGCTGCAACACGCGCAGTCTTTCTGTCTGTCTCTGTCTCTCTCTCTTTGTCTCGCTCTGTCTCTTTGTCTCCGTCTCTCTATCTGTCTCTGTCTGTTTCTGTCTCTCTCTCTCATACCTTCTGTCTCCGTTTGCTCGAGAAGCCTTAAAGCCTCGAGAGGCCACCACGACTTTTCCTGGTGGCTAAGAGGTAAGCAAGACGCGTATGATGCGCGTGAGGCTTGTCCTTCTCACTTTAATACGGCTGTTGCTGCGTTTGCCTCTGTTTTCGGCAGCAGAACTGGAGAGATCCAAAGCGTCGAGTGACACTTCAGCAGCAGCCCTCCAGAAGTAAGCTCGGGAAACTTCAACTCCTGCGCTTTTTCTCCTCTGCTTCCTGGTCGGAGCTCAGCGCGGCATCTATCGCGGCATGCGAGCGTCGAGTGTTAGCAGCCCTCCCCCTTCCTCCGTTTGTTTGACTCTCCTAGAGATGTCATTATGCACGTCTTTTCGGCTGCTTTTTCAGGCTGACGCAGAGCAACCTGCAGCTGCAGCAGGCGTCTCGAGAGCAGCAGCGCCAGCAGCAGCAGCAGGTGCAGCAGCTCGAGCAGCAGCAGCAGCAGCAGCAACAGAGAATTAGAGAGCAGCAGCAACAAATCCGTGAGGCTCACAAGCGTAACGAGGACTTGGCTGCCCGACTGCATGCTGCAGAGGGCTTTGTGAGCAGCCTGAAGAAGGAAAAAACACAACTGGAAGGCGGCATGCTCGTACTCCAGCAGCAGTTGCTGCAGCTGCAGCAGCAGCAGCTGCAGCAGCAGCAGCACAAACACAGCACTGCGCAAGAGGCAACGGATGGCGCTCAAACTCGGTATGCCTTTTCGCCCCCTCCCTCCCCTTCCCCGTGGTGGATCCACGCAAGGAAGCTCAAGCTGCCACAGAGCGCAGACAGGCATCTTGTCTTTTTATATAAATATATATATATATATATATGTGTAAGCAAGCGTTCCTGCCTGCGTAGTCTGTGGCGTGCTGGCTGCTGCTTCTGATGTCGATTTTTCAGTCTTCTTGCAGCGTCGAAGGAGGCCTCTAGAGACTCGGAAGAAACGGCCAGGCTCAAGGTAGGGGAAAGGGTGTTGTAGGCTGCTGGCTGTGTGTGGACTCTCTCTCTCTCTGTCTTGCGGAGGCAATTTTTTTCTTCACGCCGCACCAAGACGCTTTAGGCTTGTGGCGCGCTATTTGTTTTTCAGGCGGAGAATGAGAGTCTAAAGGCAAGACTCCGCAAATTGGGGAGGCTGCGGGGGGCCCCCTCCTCAGCGACTCACGAGGAGACTGTGCCTCAAGAGCCGAAGCCAGAAACAGCTGCTCCCGATGTCGGAAGAGGCACGCTTGCAAGCGTCGCAGTCTCTGGAGAAGAGGCAACTGCGGACGAAACAGCCGTCTCAACAAGGCCGACAAACTCCCCCGAGGAGGAGGAGGACGTCGTTGTCATCGCCCCTTCTGGCGCGAGGCTGCTCCATAAAACGCTCGTAGACGGGGAGGCTGAGAGGCCTTTTGATGGCAGTTCTCTCGAGATGCCGTCCCCCGCGGAAATCCCCTCTTCGAGGTGGAGGGTGAAGCCTGAAGAAAAAGGCGTGAAGCGGGCCCCTCTTGAAGAAGACTGCAACAGCAGCTCGCTGTTGCAGTCTTCTCAGCAGCAGCAGGGCAGTGAGGCTGCTGCGGTGGCTGCCACGTGGACGTCCGAGGAATGAGGCGTCAACGGACGTGCCCTGCTGTCGGCTAGTCGCAGCTAGCCGTGGCTAGCCACGCTGTTTCGAACGATAGCCAAAACCATTCTGCACCTGCGGGGAGGGCGGGCAACGCAGCAGCTCCTAGTGGTGGCCCTCCCCAACTTAGACGGCTTTTTGTTGTATTTGTAGAGTTTTTCGTCGAAGAAGAACAGCTCCAAAATCGGCGCAACTTTTTCTGAGCCGCTTGCCATGTTGAGGTGTCTGAACACCTGCGGCAAGCCGTCTGCGCGCCTGTGCTGACCGCACTGCAGCCCCTCCAATGCAACGAAAGCAAGTCAGCCACAGTGGCGGCACATGTAGCCTTAGAAGCATGAACATGGAGGGGAGAGTTCCTTGCGCACTGAGTTGAGGCTAAACAATTGCTCGGCTGCTGCAAGGGAGGGTATGCTCTCCCCCACGGGAGGGGCCTCAAAGCCTCTTTTCCATGAATACAATGAGAGAAACGCACGAACGGTGAACACCGCCTAAGGAGACACTAAAAACGCACAAAGGAAGAGGCATAGCAAGAGGGAAGTCGAACAACCCCAAATTGGGTGTTCTGCTGCTGGCGGGAGCCTCAAAGCCTCTTTTTCCATGAATACAGTGAGAGAAACGCACGAACGGTCAACACCGCCCAAGGAGACACTAAAAACGCACAAAGGAAGAGGCATAGCAAGAGGGAAGTCGAACAACCCCAAATTGGGTGTTCTGCTGCTGGCGGGAGCCTCAAAGCCTCTTTTTTCATGAATACAGTGAGAGAAACGCACGAACGGTCAACACCGCCCAAGGAGACACTAAAAACGCACAAAGGAAGAGGCATAGCAAGAGGGAAGTCGAACAACCCCAAATTGGGTGTTCTGCTGCTGGCGGGAGCCTCAAAGCCTCTTTTTCCATGAATACAGTGCGAGAAACGCACGAACGGTCAACACCGCCTAAGGAGACACTAAAAACGCACAAAGGAAGAGGCATAGCAAGAGGGAAGTCGAACAACCCCTTATTGGGTGTTCTGCTGCTGGCGGATGGTGGGACTCTTTCTCACCCCCAGCCAACGGAAGGAGAGTAAAAAGCGTCAATAGCGCACAGAAGGAGGAGGAGAGCTAAGCTGCACGTCAAAAAGCTCAGGTGACAGAGAGCCGCGAGCTACTTTCGATTGGGTGCAGTTTACCACACTCTCAATATGTCATCCGAAATTCGTAAAGACTCAGCCTTTCTTGGGTACAGCTGTTCGAAGATATACATATATATACTCTCTTTGGTGCGGCGTAGAGGCATTGCTATCCCCAAACTTCAAAATCGAAGAATGGTGTCTGGCTGTGCGCTGCATAGGCGGTCCCTATATATGATTAGGTAAGCATGAAGGAATGCGCGGGAAGGGTTTACGGGGTGCATTCATGCCCTTTAGCTATCCCTAGTCCCGTATCCCCTTGTTTAGTGCTTCAAATGAGCTCTCCGAATTCTTGACTTTAAACTCTAGAAAAAAATTCACGAAAGTTTCCTAAACGTATTCCAGCAGCAAGCACCGCTGGCCTCCTCCGTCCTAGATCCTAGAGTCTCATAGGTTCTCGATATCAGACAACAGTGCTACCTAGAATGTGCATTGCTGTACCCATTAAGCACTACTATCATCCTCAGCTAGCTGCACTTAACATATAGCGCGTACGCATGCAGGATTGCGTCATCTTGTATCCTGCACCCACGCTCTACACTAAATAAGATACACGAACGAAGAAGCAAATTTGTCAGTCTTTCCCGAACTCAGCCGTATGTGCCTCATGTACCACACAATGGAAAGACGCACTGGAGCCTGATACATGTTACCCCCACATATTCAAAAACACACACCCTCTTGATCCGCAATTGTATGCCGAGACACTTCGCATGCAAGCATACGAAAGCGGTCCCCCCCTATTGTCACCCCCAAGGCAGGCAGAAATGCGAAAGAGTGCAGATCAGAAGCGAAAATGTGTGGATTTTCGCCAAAGTGAAATCGACGGGAAGAGAGGCACACAAGCTAGCCAACAACGCACCAAGGACTCAATCCACACGGCCGCGGTGTCGCGATAGCTCGTTGTTATGCTAGAAGCAAATCAAGCTTCACACTATTCAGTGGTGCCTATTTCCCTTATTAAGCAATATCCGCATGCCACTGGCGCCAATGCCTACAAGATACTCGACTTCAATGCCTTAAAAGCAACATGTGGCAGACTTCCGGAACACCGCATCTGAGAGCCCCTGCGCATAATTCTGCATGTAAGGGGCGCGTAAAACGAGTAGGAAAGCTTCAAGCAATAATACATTACGATGACTGCTACTACTTCAGGCAGACCGTGGGGGGCGGGGAAGGAAAAGTTTAAAGGCATGAGAAGGATTTTGTCCATGGCGGCCAGCGTTCTGTACCGAGCCAAGCTGGAAATTCTCCCACCACCAATGGATCCCCAAACTGTTCATCTTTCGCTTACTTTAGTAGGCGCTACCCAGCTAACATCACCAAAAGCTCCGGTCCAGTGTATTTCGAGGGCTTGAAACCGGATTATCCAGCACTTTTACGGCCTCCTTTGGATCCTCCGTCTTATTGCAAGTAGCTTTCCTGCTGACCTAGGTCAGCGACTAATTAAAGGCTCTTCCCGGGACCCTCTGTGAGAAGCGTAGATTGGCAGTTCTGTGGCTTACCCGACGTTCAAAGGGGTTTATGAAGTAAAAAAGAGCAGTAATATACGTGAGAGAGTCGCAAATGTTTAGAGACATCTGGACGCAGACATCTCCATCTGACCAGCTCCTGGTCCTCCTTATTACTCCTGCCAATCCACTGGAATCTATTCTCCGGTCTCGAAACGCACAGCCAACCGTAGCTTAGCACAATTGGGTGCTTGTTTCTCTTACGCTTTGCGCGTACTTGTATAGATGAGCCACCTCTTCTTCAAGTTCCTCCGTGGCTACGAATGGCTTTCGACTTCGAACAATCAGGTCCAGGCCCTGGTTGTGCTGGGGTTCCTAAGGGTAGACCAGGGGTGCAATGAGCCGACGGGTGATCGACTATACTGCTGTATGATTGACCCACTCAGCACAAGGAAGAAAATAAAGCAAATCAGATAAATTTATGTGGGCGCAGAAGAGTGCGATTGGTGTGCTCTGTCTGCCCACCTGCCTCAAAGTTTTCCCAGTGGTCATAGTTTGATAAATGCTTATGGAGAGCCAATGATATGCCTGAACACGCCAGAAAACTTGCAATCCCTCTCCGTTTACAATGACTTCAATGAGTCTGTGAGGTTTTCAGATAGTAGATTAGAATAATTGAGAGGCCTGTGTTTGTGGCAGCGCAGGAGCCAGGGATACAATGGGAGTAATCACTGAGACTGTCAATCACCTACGTGCCATTTTAACCCGAATTCTGGCAGTCCAACAATAAGATCCATTCTCAGAGCAACCTGAGGTCCCTTTAAAAGGTTAAAGGCTTTGCAAGAGGCCGCATTCAAGAAAACGGCGCGACACTAGCAGCTGAAAATCTGGGCATGGCAGTGCATATTACGTTGCCACAAGACGCATGCCAAGCCGGCAGAGGGAGTGTGAGAGCGTTTGCGCTTTGATATCAACCATAAAATGGCCCGACCGTACAGGATTATATGCTTTGCTCAAAGTGGCACTGTGGCAGGCAGGTTAAGGCTGAAAAGCCACGAAGTAGCCGCTTTGTTCTGAACCAGAACAGATCATAGACATAGTCCTACTCCATGCCTTTGCCAGTAAGGGTTTTTGCAATAGTAGTAGCTGCACGGGTGTGAAAAGCATAAGCCTCTAGCACTTTCGATAGAAGGTATAAATTACTCCAGACGAGCTGTACTGTGGATCGCCTGCACGTCGTTAGAGCGCCCCTGTAGACACTTTGCTGACGCCCAACGACAGTTCACTGTAAAGTCGCCGCACAGGAGACACCCAAGTCAACGAACAGCTCTAAAGCTTGCAGATTTCTAAAAGCTGTTCCCAGGCTATAGCAAAAGTTGGTAGACGCCTTGCTCTGGAGTGTAAAAAATGACACATCTACAAATACAAGTCAGTATTTTTTTCACGCCGTATCTCTTCGCATAAGGTTTCTTGTCCTGTATTGGAGGCGACTGAACCTACATGAAGCCACTAGAGCTAATTTAATGTCTTGGACCACCTGTCGCTCCTTCACTAGCATGGACTGCTAAAAGAAGTGATGCCTAAAATCGTGCTGCACGAAACCAGCGGGGTTGCAAGGTTGCCGATAAGCGTTCTTGCTAAGTTATCAGCCTCCACTTTCTAGTATGTCACCTGCATTCGCTTACGTAGATATGTCAAATGGGCAGCGCTACGAGAATATTCAGGAGTTAAATTTTTGCTAGGTGGCTGAAAAACCAGAAAGCTCCCCAATGTCTTAGTGAGTGCGTAAAAACGTGTAGATAGCGCCTTGAGCACTTCACTTTTATACGGATCTGGCTCAATTCCTGCAGCTGGAACTTGAAATTTCACAAACACAACTACTTCTATGAACAACAAAGACTTGTGTGCTTCCATATACCACTGCTTGCCCTGCACCAATCGAAGCGCACACCGTAGGCGTTTTAGGTGCTTCAGAGCTCTTCGCTAACTATAGACGCATTTTGCGCAGACAGCCATCTGCGGCCTCTCGAAAAGCTCATAAAGTTCTTGATATTCTTGAAGTTATAGTTTTTCTGAGGCAATAACAAGTTCAGTGGGAAACAGGCATGCTCGAACGTGCGCGTGCGAGTGTGCAACGCCGTTTTCTGTACGTTGTCAGGGTTAACGGGGATTTGTAAAATGACGTCTGTGAAGCAAAATGGCATGTAGGCTGTTGACACATGTGATTCTGTGAAGTGATTCGCCAATGAGATGCATTAGCAGCTTCTCTCTCAGTCTTTTTTCGGCACGCAAACGAGCTCATTTCCTAAATCCCTTGTCGATTTCTGCCCTTTGCTCATTTCAGCATCCTCCAGCCGCCTATTTTCTCTTTATGCTGCGGTAGTCTCTTCTAGTACCGTGGACCATAGCTTGGGGCTGACACAGAGATTGGCCCACAACGGTGGGCAGGACTACCAGCAACTGGCCGGCCTGTTGGCAGTTCACTATTGTTTAGCACAGCTGTAAGGTACTTCTTGGTATTTCGCCTTTTTGATGCTCTCCAGCCTAATAATCAGACGCATCGGTAAATAGAATGTCATTCGCAGGTGCATGCCAAAAACTTTTTGTAACTGTGCTGCTGAGCCGTCCTTTGGCAGACCGTGCTTCACCACGGTGAGGCACCGATTCTATCCCGCTCATCATGGATAAGACGAAGGTCACTCGGGAATGCAGGATGTCTTTTGTTTTATTGGTTCTTGGCTCACTATCCTACACAGAGCGTGCCGGTGGCCACGAGCACCTTTAGTCTAACTAAGTCACTCAGGGCGTGTCTGGCATAACACGACTGTGGCGCTGCGACGGCTCATCTTCGCTCAAGCGCGGGAATGTGTGGGTATTCTGCTGCTCTATACCAGAATAAAGTCATCTTTGTAAGGATAACTAAATAAATACCAGCTCAGCAGAGAGTCTCTCATATCTCCGCGTCTGCGTTTCGGTGCCAGCAGAGCATACAGCAAAGTCAATGCACAGCCCCCGATAAAACAAAAAAGACAATTTAGAAGCACCAAAAAGTAGCGTAAAGTATCTGCGAATACATCACACCGTAGAAAAATACCTCAATAATAGATGGGGACTGTCACTCGCAAATAAAGGTGACAATTTCAGGCAAAGGACAGCTGGGGAGGGATAATTACTAAGGAAATAAGTGGAACACAATGTATGACGACTATCGTTGTTAGCTAGAAGCGCCATCAATATTTATGCAGGCATCAAAGCCTGGAGGTGCTCCTCTGTCAACTGCCGAGGCTGGTTTTCCCGACTCAACGTCAGTAGCCAGACTTCTTTTTTTGTCCAATTCGGTGTTCAATAATCTTAGCTTTCCTCTCTCTCTCCGGTTTCTACAAAATGCATAGCCTTAAGAAACGTGCGTTTACTTTCGTGAACTCTTGTTCGGAGAGAGTCCTTAAT